GAGCTTTAGAATACTCTAACTCGTCATTAAATAGACGATTTGAAAGCTCAATTAAGGTATTTTCGGTTCAAGCAAAAACCTGTTGTATCTAGGGTAATTAATGATTGTCTTTTAATTTAGGAGAACTAATAACACACCTTACTCACGGTTTGAAAATTGTTTAGGACCATTAATGATCCTTTAGCGCGTAATAATGGTAGTTTCTTTGGTTGACTTGCATAGCTTAGACCAAAATCCGAAGACAATGCACGAGATTGGGATTAGGCATGACAATTAATCACAAGGGAGGAAAATGAATTTAAATTGTTCCTATCAAGATTAATTGAGGGCTAACATCTTATAACGTCTCCATTAAATTCAATTAAAATTCATGAGTGAACTCAGGGAAAACGGAAACTATTCATAATAAACCGTAACCCATGAAACCGGCCATCAAAGCGGGTCAGGATTGACTCCGTATTGGAACCATGATTGGAAAGGGTTGAGCGAACGCCGATGATCGGAAGCTGGGCACTAGCCACCAATTGAACAATCTACATTCACTTTCAAAGGGTTCTCGAGAACCTCAAACCAACGACAAGCGTTTTATATAATCTTGAAGATTTAGCAGAGCAAAAAGCTCTAAGAAACTAGGCACTGGTAACCAATTGAACAATCTATGTCCATTTCACTTCCAGAAGGTTCACGAGAACCTCAAGCCAACGACAAATGTTGTATATAAACTTGAACGTTTATTAGAGCGAAAAGCTCAAAATTCACTAAATGGCGACTGCATTATCCAGTACGAAACCAATGGAAGTGAGCAACAATCCGAAACCGGAATTTCAGTCCAAGTAGAGGGTTTAGGAGGAATAGAGTAAAACCTGCGAAGAACCTTGGCAGGGGACGGTTGAATTGCCAGGAAGATATGCTTGTGAGAGAAGGACGCCGTAGAGAGAAGGTGGAGGAGGGAAGAGGACCAGGTTTTGCCTTAACTTTGGATGTTGTTTCTTGAATTTGCGTGGTTTCTTCTTTCTATGGGGGGATTGGTCTCTCCTCTTCTCTCCGCCAATTGTTGTAGGTCATCCACATGCTGACTTCCTACCACTCCTGCTAAAGCAAGATTATTTTAGCTAAACTAATTGAAGTACTAATAATTAGGGTAAATTGCAAGGTTGGTCACTAGGATTACAAAAAACATTCACGTTTAGTCACTAAAAATATTTAATTCCATTGGTGGTCACTAAAATTAGTTAAAAAGTTCAAGTTTGGTCACTCTTCTTTTCCTTCCGTTAGTCTCCATTAACGGCGTCAATTTTGTGCTGACGTGGCTAACAGATTTGACAAATCAGCCAAATTTAACAGGCCGTGTCATCACTACGACCCCGACACGTCAATAACCCTAACCTGCAATCTGACCCTTTCTTTTGACTGCCCGAGCTAAAAATTCCCCAACCGACTCGGTCCTTTTAAAATCTAATCAACTATTGCTCAGAAATCCATTTTCGGTGAGTTGTGTGCCTCGGATTGCTCATCCGTCGGGTTTGACTACTCTGACTATCGTCGACATCTGCTTCCGGTGGGGGGTGGCAACTAACAATGGAAGCTCATCAAATCACCCCCACAAAATTCACTCAACTTGGTGAATAACTGTTGGTAGTTGAAAAGGAAAATGTCAATTTCAGTAAAACTCAAAAGTGGAGGGAGATAGGGGATGAAATTGCGAAGGGGAATAGCTGGGTATTCCACTAGAGAACGAGATGGAGCACTGGACGGAGGACGCGAATTTGACCGCCTTGGACGAGCTCGCCGCCGTAACTAGTAAGGTACTTGGGGGAGACTAACGGGTCAGGTTTTTTGACGGAGTTGGTCGAGGAGAGTTTGAATCGGAAAGAGAAGGGTGTTCTTTTGTTGGGCGTTTGGGACGGGAGGATTCAGGCGGATGATTTAGCCCGCCTACTTTTCTTCAATCTAACACTGATGTGGGATTCAGGAGCATAAGAGGAAGAAGTCGATTTCTTCTTCCCAAGCCCAGCGCCGATTCATCTTCCGTCGACGATTTGGGAACTCTGGATTCTACAACCGCTTCTTCCTCTTTGTGGTTGAGTCGGTGAGCTGGGTGCGCGTACGATTTCGGGTACCTGGTCAAGATCTTGACTCGGAGGTCGCTGTCTGGCGGGTTGGAGTTCTTGGGCTTGTGGTCGATGGTGTCGCTGGGGTAGCAAACAGAGGAAGATCGGTGGCGATGGTTTTGGAAGAAGAAGGATGGGGAAGAAAGGTCTGCGGAGTTGATTGTTGAGTGAGCGAGAGAGAAAGGGAATTTAAGTGTTTTTTGAATTATTATTTTAATTTGAGTGGGTTGGTGGGATCATGGGTTATTGGGTTGGGCAGAGTTGGGTTATATGATGCTGCATGTTTTTATGGCGTCACAGTTTGGATTTCAATTTTTAGGTTAAAATTGAGTGACTATACAATTCTGTTAGCCACGTCAGCAAAAAACTAACGCCGTTAACAGAGACTAACGGGAGGTAACGGAGAGTGACCAAACTTGAATTGTTTAACAAATCTTAGTGACCACTAAGGGAATTAGATATTTCTAGTGACCAAACATGAATATTTTTTGTAATTCTAGTGACCAACCTTGCAATTTACCCCTAATAATTAGCAACTCTATTAAATAACATTGTGTCCAACCATGCTTATGTGGCTAATGAATTGCCACATCACACATCCCGTGTGGTACTCACCACCAATAAAAACTTGACACCTGAAAAATAGAAAGAATAATTAATTTATATTTCTAATTAATATTTCCATATTTTCTACTCTCCCTCTCGTCTTCTCTCTGCTCTGCCGTCACCGAACAATCTCTGGTTCTTCTCCCTCTTTTGCTGGGCTTAGGATAGGGTCAGTAACCAATGGTTGCTAACCTATGAGTAACTAAATTTGGGCCTTTAGATTTAAGTGGGTCCAGAAAATTCAGATCTAAAGGTTGTCAATTAAAAACATTTTATTTTCCCTAGTTTTCTTAATTGGCTCTTATCTTCTTCGTTCTATCTCGGATTTCAATTTTTTTTGCACAGATGGAACGAGTTTGTTGTGCTCTACAAAATGAGATCAATTTTCAATATATTTCGAGAAACTTTTTTTTACCAATTACATACCATATGGTAATTTCTTCGTTTTTAAGTCGTTTTTGAAAACGTTTGCTCAGAAGGAACGAGTTCATCATGATCTATTGGATCTATAAATTTCTGGGTGAAAAAAAATACTGGATCAAAAATTACCATACTTTACCACTATGGTATGTGATTGGTAACTTGTAGTAAACAATGATGGAAGTCGTAAATGACAGTTAATATACTCCTACTATCATGTATTAAACCTTCTTACCATATTGGTATATTCATATCATCATGGTACGCTTTCTTACCATATGGTATTAAATTGGAGCATACCATATGGTAATAATTGGTAAAAAATTATTCAATTTTTTTTGTACCAAAAATATATCAAAGTGGATATCATTTTGAAGAGCATATTTTATCTGATTTATCTGTGCAAAAAAAATTAAATTTTGACTTAAAACGAGAGAGAAATCATCCGTTAAAGATTAAAGGGTAAAGGATAAAAGACTTTCCAGGAGAGAGAGGCTACTGATGTCATGCTGATGTGGACAGGTTACTCATGGTTATTGACCATAGAGTTACTGACCTGATCCGCTCCCCTTTTGCTGGGCTTCTTCCAATTCTTTTCTCACCTTTCTGAACACCATTCTTTCAATTTCTCGCGGTCTCAAGGTAGTTGGCGATAGAGGCGTATCGAGTTCTCTTTTAGGATTTGGGGCTGGATACCCTGAAACTGGGGTAGATTTTCTTGGTTTTAATTGTTGCGGATTGCTGCGTTTGGGGGTAACTTGGTGGGAACTTGAAGGGTTTCAATTATGGGTTTGAGGGTTGCACGTAGGGGTGGTAAACGGTAATCCGGTAAATGGTTTATCGGCGGTATCGACAGCCGAGCGGGAAGTTGGGGGAGTCGGTTTACCGGACACGATATCGGTAAATACCGACAGTAAATCGGTAATACCGATAACGAAATTCCCCCTCACTACTCCACTAACATATAACATATACATCATTATTCACAAATATAAAATATTACATACATGAATGTAAGTAAGTATAGGCCTCAAAAATATTGTAAATAAGAGTTAATAATAAATTATTAATTACAAAAATGATGGAAAAAACTCAAAAAAAAATCAAAATATTACAACATTACCCCACTTCCAGAAATTCGGTTCGGTAAATATTTGGTAAACCGACCGAAAAACCGCCCGAAATCGCTTCTCACGGTATTTCGGTAATACTGGTTTGTTACCGTTTACCGGTAATTCGGTAATCGGTAAACCGGTTACAAACCGGTATCTGTAATCGGTAACCAATTTGACCAACTTCGGTATACCGAAACCGGTAAATTCGGTGAACAATTTACCGTTTACCGACCGAATCCCACCCCTAGTTGCAAGCGATTTGAGAGTCAGAAGATTAGATGGGGGTTGTGGTTTGGCGACTGGCAAGCATAGAGATCGAGAGGTCGTGAGCCGGAGCATCTGCGTACTGGGATCTGAGATGCGACATCAATATGGGGGACGAGTAGGAGATATCAAGAAGCTTCGAACGGCGGCAACGGAGGTATAGACTCGATTCTCTTTCTGTGCGGTGAGGCTTCAATCTGAGGCGACGATGGTGGAAGATGCGTTGTCAACGATTTGTGTGTTTGGGGGTTTCAATTGTTAGGTATGGGTTTGCGATTTCAGCAACTCAATCTACAATCCGGAGCTCATAGCCTGGAAATCGAGTAGAGTTGCAAGGGGCGAACGGTGAGAATATGAGAAGTAAATTATTTATTTTTATTTATTTATTTAAGTGAAATGGAAAAAATTAAAAATTCTAGAATTCCTGAGGTGGATTCTATCGTGGAAGCTGAGATGCATCACCATTAGAAAATAGTTAACAATAGCCAATACTTTCATCGGTTACAGTACGTTTGGCTAAGTAGTATTGAATTTGGCTAATTAAAATTATTTCAATAGGTTTGACTAATAAAAGAATCCAAAAAAGATTTGACTAATAAAAGAGATTACCCTAGTTTTTACCAAACACAACGCAAAAATAAACCTGACCAGATGCTATTCAAGTGATCTAACCCGCAAACTATGGTTCTTTTATCTTGAGAAGTGCAAATATCTAATCTACAGAGACAAATGTCACTAGTTTACAAAAGAGAGTCGAGAATTCTTCTCACCATTTCCTCAGAATAGTTTTTTCCTCTCATGTGGGCAAAGCCCTCAGCAGAAGCAGAGCTTTCTTCCACTGAGGTCTCCGCGACAAAATGATTCTCCTCAGAACTGGCACTGCTCCGGCAGCTATAATTGCCGGGTGGTTCTCGCTATCCATGCTCAAGTTATAGAGTATTGACACTGCCGCATCCACCACCACCCCATCATCATTCCCTCCTCTTTCCAGCAGCTTCACCAACGGAAAGATGCCACCTGTAGAAGCAACAGCTCGAGAAGCAGCAACCACTTCTCCTCCGGAGATGATTCTGTTGAGTTCCACAACAGCAGCAGTGATCTCTTCAATGGGAGAGGACAATGATGAGGCCAGAAGCTTCTCCACTAGTCTTGGGATTGTTTCATAAAGTGTTACTACTTCAGTGTTGATTATGGTGGGATCTTGTCGCAATTGTGTGTAGTTAGGAATACTACCGAGTGAACTACTCAGTTTGATCAGGCAAGCAGCGACCCAGTCCTTGTGATGGAGAGGGAGATGATTTGACTTCAGGATTTCGCGGAGCAATTGACTGAACTGGGTTAAGTCTATCCTGTTGCGAAATTGGTCCGAGTCAAGGAGCTTGGCCAGTAGCTGAGATGCTGCAGATATGACAAGACCAGCTTCTTCCACTTGAAGGATGTACAGCTCCTCAATTTCATCTTCAGAATTTATTTCTGCCCAAATACGCCAAAGATGACCAGGATAAATGACATACACGATATAGAATAAACAAGTTACCGATACCAAGAAATTCTTTATACATCTGATAGTGCCACACAAGTTCGTGCATAATCCTCTTGCTCCTAAAGCTAAAACCAATTAATTTATTTAAACCATTGAAATTGAGTCTTAATGCAAAGCTACACGGCTTGGTGATAATTTCAGGGATTGGAGTAGCTGTACCAGTCAATGCACTCTGTTGAAAAGCAGCATCTAGACCTGATTCAACAGAGGCTGAGATGACAGCATTCCTCCCGGCATCAGTATTTGCCATAAACTCGAGCACTGTAGCTGCCTTCCGCTGTAAGCTTGGAGATGAATGCCTCAGCATCTCAACAAGGTGAGCAATGACAGAAGTGTCAAGCAGCTCAAGTCTAAGTTGTATTTGAACCATTCAAGCCAAAAAAAGTGTTAAGCTCTACCGTAGCAATAATATGGACAAAAAACCAAAGATAGAAAAGTCCCACTACTTTGCATAAAGTTTTGCTCTTACATGCAGTAACTGATAGTTTATAAAGAATATCAGTTTCGTGTGCAGACAAACAAGGTACTTCTAGTTTCATGTCTGAGCTCTGATACCGCATACCAGTCTATAATGATTTAACATTACCAATATCCTCAGATGATTGAGTTGTAGGGAATACAAGAAAAGGACGCAGTGGGTCGTCGTTTATAGTGGTTGAGTCAAACCATTTAAGCCAGCACAATAAAAAATTTACAGTCACATTATGACATCAGAGGCTCTAGCAGACAGTTCTGGATCTGTTTTCTCTGAGCATACAAAAACGGGCTAATGGAACACAGAACTCAAATTTCCTATGTGTATTGACTGTTCTGCAATTCTGTAGTGGACTTATTTGGCCAATGGAACTGGAGGAATTGCATCTCCCTTTTGCAGGAATATCAACAATTATTGATACTTCCTAAGATGAAAGTTGCAAAGTTTCTTCATGGGTGGAAATGAATATTACAGGAGGTTACCTGTTATCTAGATTTGACACGGTGTCAACAGATGTTTCAGTGCCTCCTACATCATCCATTCTTCCTTTGTAGCCATTAACTGGTCCATCATAAAACTGGCATGAATTACATGCCTGGTAAGCCTAAAGCTGTATAAGCTTTCAGCACATCGACAAGTTAAATAGCTGACCTTTGATTTCATTTCTTTACTTGGATCCATAATTCTAGCTAGTAAATCCAATGCCTGCATCGCAGCATTTTATTGCAGTCAAGCACTATTGCACTAATCCTTTGTCTTTTATTGTATGGGAAGAAACAAATAATTGGAAGTTAAGGGAAACACCTTTTCAACAGAATCACTTGATGTCTTTGAGTTCTTAATGAAGTTAATCAAGGGAGTCATAACACCTTCTTCTTCAATTTTCTGGCAAACAACGTAGCTGCAAGCAAAAGGCAGGCGGAATGAAATAGCATGAATACGGAAAAAAAAAATTTCCTTGCACTAAATGCTGAATGCTAAGAACTTGTGTCAATCTCACAAATAAAAAAATAACAGCCTATGGTGTTAGCGGCTCGTTCAAACATCAAACTGGAGACATATAATTACTAATCAAATTAGCAGCCACAATATATTTGAACTTGCAATTCCAATTAAGAATACAATGGATTCTTGATGGCAAATTTTGTGATGTACACGTAGAAAGATAGAAATAGACAGTTTACCTAGGGGACAACCTCACCAGAGCACCTAGCACAGGCACTTGGACAGAATCATTGTTGTGATACAAGAGCCGAACTAAATGCTTGACCGCTCCAGCTTCCATGAAAGATGTACGCATATGCTCATTTATTGATGCATCTGCAATTGACCTTGCAGCCCGAGATATGGCGGACTCATCCTGTAGCTCAAGGATTAAAACCAATCTAGCCACACCATCTATCCAAGGTAAGAGAGTGAACTGCCTCTCGCTAGGCACATTAGTTATTGATAATTTGTTATCTTCAATCTCTATGGCCCCAGTCCGAGCAAGAAATTGTTGCTTGGACCGCCCTATCATAGCTTGAATCTTTGCCTCCTGTATGTTAGTACTCTTCTCATCAACACTTAGTCCAAGGAGTAACTCAGAAGCACCATACCTTGAAGGACCTCTGGCTGTACGCTCAATCTCGGTCCCATCAGGCAAACTCGGCCATGAAAGCAAAGATGGAACAAATGAACTATAGGCGGCTGCACCAATCAGTGGGACAGGGACGAGGCCTTCTTCAATAACAAGTAGTCTATAATAGTCATTCTTGGAAAGTTCCAGAAGAGCATTTCTTGCCTCCTTTCTGATGACCTTATATTCCTCTGCGGGATCAGATTTTAAGAACTCAGCCTGCAGTTGATGTTGGAAGAGGAATAATACAAAATTATCAAACAGATTAGCATGATACTATGTTCACCCTGACTGATTAAACAAATGTCTTGGTTCAGCAATAGACTTTATCTGCAACGAGGGAAGCACTACTTGTGACTCCTGAAAACAAAAGAGCTGTATTCGTCTGTAGTATCATTAAGCAACTTCAGAATGCAAATGGATTCTTACCAGCTTAGGGATAATCCCCGCTTCAACCATGACCTTGTGATTGGACGAAGTCAATGCCAAATTAGCTAGAACTCCACCAGCTGCTTCTTTCACTCTGATGTCTTGGTTCTTCAAAGACATAATAAGTAACGGCAGGATAGTGCTGCTTGCAATTTTAGTTCTGAGCCCCTCATCGACTGATAAGTTCCACAGAGTACATATACTTTGTTCTTTAACCTACACAGAAGTTTCATTTGCTTGCCTCAACTTCAGTCACCAAAAAACCAGAAGAGTTGTTGCAACAGAAAGAGCTCAGTACCTCGGAAGTCAAGGATGGTTGACTAAGCAGACCATTAATCTCTTCAATGGCCCCACTTTCTGCTACCACGGCCCTATATTGATTCACCGAAGATATAGAGCGCAGAAGCCCCGCAGCAGCTTCACTTGAAGAACTAGACTCTGAGTTTAGAAGGTTAATGGTGAGATTGATACATCCCTGAAATTGAATGATGTTATCCACACATTTGTTTCCGCCAAGCGAATACTTCCACAATGCAACTATGGCTTGTTCTCGGTCGAGGGGATCGTTATCAAGCCCGAGCATCCGAATGAATAACGGAATGTAACTGTCCCCCAAGCTACTGTTTTTCTCTGTCTCGGTGTTCTGAGGAGTGCATCAATAAATCACACAGTGTCAGTATCCCCCATTCTGGCAAAGACCAATGAACAAGGTCAACTGTAATTGTTAAAATTCAACTGTCTTTCCGTGCATTGCGATTAAAGGATGATAATCAAACAAGTAATAATTAGCAAATAACCAAAGATTAATCTACTTTGGATCCATTTCTCAGAGCATCGCTAGCTAGAGCTTCTGGTTTCAAAGTTCTTTCAGGGAGATAGAACTCAGAAGTAGAGAAGCAGGAGAAGTTGAGAAATAAATTACAGTAGACTCCTGCTGATGAGTTGTATCACGGCCGGAGCCACCATCACTGGATGCCCTTGTTCGCACAGGACAACTTGGGCATTCTTTGACCATGGCGTTATCACGAGGAACGTGGAATAGGGTGGTGCTAGAAAGTAATGGTTTCTTCTTTCTGGTTTTGGGATGCCTAAGCGTTGCAGGAGCAAAGGCAGTTGAGTGTTCCAGGACCGTCGGAGGGATGAGATTGAAGTGGCTTGGTATCGCTGAAGTAACCATCATTACCGGAGAAGAAGAAGAAGAAGATGACTCTTGACTACGCTCTCTAGGAAAAGGGGTTTTGAAGATTCGGGAATCTGGAATTACAAAGGGCAGAAGGTGTGGCCAAGAATTTATGGATACTAGACTTTCAGGGCCGCGCTACGCAGCGGCTAGGCTTTGTGATCGTGGGCTGACAAAATAAATGAATTATTAACGGCCCACGGAGTAAAGAAAACCCAATACGCTTATACTTCCTCAACCGCCACCAAGATAAATTCTCAATCCTTATTCCATACAATCAAAAGAGAAAAGAGAGTTGTTATTTACTGCCCATAAAATTATTATTTGTCGTCCACCTTTTTGTCAAAAAGACAATTTTTTCCCTTTCCTATATTCTTTTATAATTCTTGAAACTCTTGTTCATCCCCCGCACTTCCATCAACATTGCCAACAGGCCACTTTCGGTAGAAGAATCCCATCGGAGAAACTCAGGTCGCCGGCAAACTCGTCTCGTCCGCAAACTTTAATAGTGGCATAAAATGAGGTCATATTCTATCTCTCGACAAATGTGGAATGTCTAGCAACCGACAAAAAAAATTGAAACCAAAAAGGGGCTGACGACGACTGGTACGAAATGGATTTTCGAATGACCAAGTTCAGTACGAAAGTGGTCTTCGGAGGACGAAGCACCGTACGAAAATAGCTTTCGTGACAAATTGACAGGTACGAAGGACGGCTTCGTACGAGGCATTGTGGTACGAAGGCCAATTTCGTACGGGGCATTGTCCTCCGAAATCCATTTTCGTACCGGGCATGGTGGTCCGAAAACTTCTTTCATACCGGGCTGACTTTGTATTTTTTTTATAAATAATATCTAAATAATTTGTAGTTGCTGAAAACTTAAAGTTTAAATTTTTATAAATTATGGTAGTACAATTTATTCTCTTTATTTTATATATTGTATTGAATTAGTGTTTATGGTTTGAATTTCATAATTAGTACAATTTATTGAAGGTTTATGATAGATTGTTTATATTTAATTTTTTTAAGTATTGAATTATGGTTTAGTGTATATTAAATTTGTATTTAGTATTGAATTATGGTTTAGTGTTTAAAGTTCATAATTTAGTGTTTATAATTCATTTAGTTCATATTTAGTTTGTATTAAGTTTTGAAGTAGGGTTTATTGTGTTTTGAATTAGGGTTTAGTGTATAATTCATTTGTATTAAGTGTTCAATTAATGTTTATGGTTTAAAGTTCATACTTACGATTTTATGATTTGTTTGTATTAACATTAGTTTGAGGATGACTCTAAAGATTTGTTCATTTGTAATTGTAGGTAGACATGATGCATGAGTTTAACCTGATAGATGATGACACGGGGGGCTTCATCAATAATGTTCGCTATCCTAATTTAAACGATGTTGTGACAGAGGCTAAAAACATTGCGAAGCAATACAATTTCTTTCTGATAAGGGGTTCGAATAAGCCACGAGAAAAAAAATGGGAGAACCTTCGGTCTATGTTATATGTATTGTGATCGATGCAGTAGGATGAAGAAGTCATACAAACCGGATCCGACGAAGGAGAGACGTGGAAATACTAGTACCAAAGGTGTTGAATGCATGTTCAAGTTCAAAATTGTAAAATTATTGGTTGATTAGGATAATGATCATGGGACGACATTCTGGATGATACAAGGGGTGTTGGAAAAGGAAACTGGACGGTGGCGAGGGTATCACACCTACGAGAAGATGCTTTATCCGGAAGGGCATCGTCAGAATGTAGAATTCAGTGAGCAAGATAAAGAGCAGATAAAGAATATTAGAGATGCTGGTGTAGCTCCATCGTTCCAAAAGAAGACGATGAACAATCAGAAGGGGGTCCAATATCAGGAGAGAACGAATGGGTGTGATGAATGCAATCCATTACACGTTGCAAGCAGCCGAAGAAGAGGGTTACCATATTCAGTATTTGAAGGACGATAACGATGTGCTCACCAATCTTTTCTTCGCACATCCAACTTCCATCTAAATGTTGAAGGCTTGGTGGTATGTCATTCTGATAGACGCCATCTACAAGACCAATGTTTACAAGTGTCCGTCGGTGGAGGTCGTAGGTGTTACTCCTCTGGGGAAGAATTTCAACATATGTTGTGCTCTTTTGGCGGTTGAGGCAAAAGATTCATATCAGTGATTGCTTGAATGCATAAAGGAATCGCTTGGTCCACGGGAGCCCACAACTATCATCACCGACAAAGAAGGTGGGCTACTCGTTTCAATTCCTGTGGTCTTCCCTAACACCCCGCATTTGCTATATGTGTGGCACGCGGAGAATAACATGAAGGAATAGTTTCTAAAGCTATTGAATAACCTAGATGCTGTTGAGAAGGCCTATGAAGACCATTGGGAACCTATGCTTCGTTAATGGTCCGAAGAAGGTCTTTACGATGCCATGGAAAACTTTAGAAGGATTTGGAACAACAAGGACCAACGCATGGTGGATTACATACTGCATGAGTGGTGGGGGCACCGATAGAAGTGGGCAGTTTGTTATACGAAGCATGTATTCCATCTAGGAAACACGCGCTCAAACAGGGTTGCGTCCTCCCATTCATCATTCAAGACGTACCTTCAAAATTCCTGTGGTTCTATCGACACGGTATGGCAAGCAAACCACCGATTCATTGTAAATCAACTCATTGAAGTGAGGGGTATGTTTGAAAATTCTAGACAAAAGAAAATTTCATTATCCGACGGTTCACCATTTACATTCTTACGGAGGCAGGTCGACGAAAAGGCAATTATACTAATGAAAAATGCAGAAGATAAGTTGAAGAAACGATGTTCATGTCATTATCCTGTCTCGCACGGTCTGAAGTGTGGATGTCAGGTTAAGGTGGCTAGAGCATCAGATATAGAGATATACCCTGCTAAGCTGCATGTATTTTGGCAATCATTGGAGTATGAGAACCCACCCAATGCTGAAGACTATGGACCCATAGAAAAAGCAGTGCAACAACACTTATTCGCTTTGGCTAAAGAGGTTGTACGCATAGGGCCAGAGGCTACTAGCAAAGCAGCCACAAGGTTGTTTCGCGGCCTCCACTTAGCACGGGGCACCGTTCACGAGCTGGCAGTGAATGAAATAAGAAAAATAAGATCGAAGAAAAAGTCAATTGGCGAAAGAAATATTAGTGGGAGAAGAACCCGTTGCGCGGGCTGAAGAAGAACATGAAAACCAAGTCCGGGAGCACAACATCGGGGTCCACAAAGTCGGGGAAGTCCATAGGAACCTAGACAGACGGGTGTCATTCAGATAAGCACACATTCGATGAACCTGGTCCTGACGGTCATTATACTAGTATGCACACGTAATCATTTCAATATCAATGTATATATTACGTGTACTTGTCCCTTTTTAGCCAAACTGATTCCTAGTTCTCTAATAACAGAGTACGCAGCCGACAACAACCAAAAGAAATACTATCACGAGCATCAGCTACCCATGATCGTTCGAGGTCGTTACAATTCATTTCACGACCCTGCACCAAACGGTCATTGTGGGTTTCATGCGCTCAGTTTTGCAATACATGGTACTCAAGACAGGTACATGGAGATGAGTTTCATCATAGCAGAAGGAATTCGCAACCATGATTACCGATACGCCAACATTTATGGTAGTGAGGCGATGGATGCCATCAATCACATTGACCTAAGAGACGCAAATCCGACAATTGAGGAACACTAGATGATGGGCGTGGACCTATTTGTGTTTGCTACGCTTTTCAACTTGGCAGTCATTATGTACGCATCATACGCCATCCCCGTACGTTCAGAGATGAATTGCACTATGTTCCCCATGGATAACCTATATGGCAAGCCAGGACCAAGAGGTGTCGTGGTCCTTCATTTCGTCGACGATCATTGGCTCAACCTTTCTTTCACATCTTTTGAAGAGATTCTATTGCCCCCTGTGGGTCTCCTGTGGGATCTTGGCAAACAAGATAGCATCATTGGCTGGTATCAGAGTTTTCTCGTGTCTCAACAATTGTGGCTCGAAGTAAAGCTTGGAAACAAAGGAACAAGTCTTAGCTTATCAGTAATGTAATAGACATGTGTGCTGGTTAGCAAATTAATAATAAGATGGTCCGCACAAGAAGGTAATGACATTGTCTCATAACTAAAATACACGAACATAGTCTCATAACTAAACTACAATAACATAATCGTTCACAAATGTCTGAACCAAAAGAAAATAAGCTATCAAACTACTGCTCGATAGCGTAGTCTCCCGATCATTATACCAATAAATACCATACACATATGTCTGAACTACAAGATAATGAAACATCAAACTACGGTTGTGGAGGAAGATAAAAATCACCAGTAATATGGTTGTACTTAGTCCACAGATCACCAACACCATGTAGCATGTGGTAGTACTCGTTCGAGTTAGTCCGCCATTCTCCTGTGCTGTCGTGAGTAGAACTGTGCATCGCAGGACCAATCTCCATAAACATCTCACGTCCCAACTGCAATTATTGAAAAAATTAACACATGTTGGATGCAACATGATTCGGGCCTAATGGAAATAAGTGTGTGTGTTGGGGGGGGGGGGAGAAATTATTTTTCCTCCCAATGAGTTGTGCTTAACAAATGTTTCCACGTATGGTGCTTGGTTGCTGATTTGTACATGATGGTTAACATGAACCACCCATACCTTGTGGCGCTAAGGGGCCGCCCTGAAATGGAAGAAGAGATGCTTTTTTGGGCATCTTCGTGCGTCGGTGACCATTGGAAACCCGAATTCGCACAGTTCGACGGGCTTCATTGCGGTAATGTTATGAGGGAAGCAGTGGTGCACCCACAATGGCGCCAACTCCTTGATCTCGAAGATAACATTTACGGGGACTGTGAGTCGATTTTTTCAGCACCTTCACCGTCTTCAAGACCAAATGCCTACTCGGCCATCCAATACGCCAGGCCAAGCTCCAGTTGGGAGGGGAATATCACATTTTGAGCTACGACGGGTTAGCCGGAGCCCTAGGAGTTGAAGCCAAACATGAGGACGATTGGGAGGAGGACTCCATCAAAGGTTGCGACATGAATGCCGCATTTCTGAAGTTTTGCCTTCCGAAGTACCGAAGGATAAAATTTAGGTCGTCCCTAACAGTGGCATCTACAATCATACCCTAGTGGCGTGTCATCATTGCAC